CCCCCGCCGCTCAGGGACAGGCCAGGGCCCAGTGACGAGCAGGCTAGCGAACATGGCCTCGAGGAGGAGAACGGGGTGGTTTAGTCTGAGCCGGAGCTGGCAGAGGGGCAGGGAAACGGCCCAGTCCGTCCGGCTCCAGGGGTCTGTGTGTAGCTGTGCAGGGGCTGGAGGTGGGTTGCTGGTTCTGTGCTGCTCGCCCTCCCCACCCCAACCAAGCACTGGGGATGGAGCCATGCAGGCCAGGGCTGGGCGCTCGGTTGCAGCCTGGCACCGAGGGGGCCGCTCTGGGTGTTGTGCTTCAAGCGGGGCAGGCGAGGGCTGCCGGTTCCTGGAACCGGTGTCACCGGCTATGTGCTCAGAGCAGCAGCAGTGACATGGGCATCGCATTGGCAATGCCTCCCATAGCCCCTGCATGCCCTGTGGCACCTGTGTGAGTGCAACCTGCTCCCAGCAGCTGACTGTGCCCAATCTGGTCTGCCCTGCCCTGCCCTGCCCTGCCCTGCCCTGCCCTGGGGGGCCCAGGGGCTGGGCAGGGGAGGCTCTGCTGCCACCCCTGCCCTGGACAACTGGGCCAGGACAGAGCCCCTGGGCAAAGGGGCCTGACTCCAGAGCAGGCTGCGACCTCGGGGCGTGGAGGGCAGCATGGCTGTGGTGTGGGGAACGCCAGGCAGCCCAGAGCCTTTGCCCTGCCCTCGGCTGCCTGGGCAGATGCTGGGGTGCCCAGAGCCTTGCACGGCCGCCTCTGGTGCTGGGGCCTGGCAGGAAACCAGTGGCTGTGTCGCAGCTGCATGAGATGGAGCAACATCACTTCCTGATGGTTCCTCTCCTGCTCGGGCGGGCCAGAGCCAGGGCCCTCCCTGCTCTCAGGGAGACACCCCGCTCAGCACTGCATTGCTGCTGCCAGCTCCGTGCCGTGCCAGACAGTGCCATGAGCTGGCCCTGACGGCGCCACACTCCCCAGCCAGGGGGTCCTTTTGGGCAGCAACGTGTCCCCTACGGCTCCTCCAGACAGCCCCCTGCCTTGCTGCCCAGCCCTGCAGTGTGGACGGCTTGGAAGGGGCATGTCTGAACCTTTGCTGTGGAGCCAGAGACACCCCCAGCCCTGCTTCCAGCCCCCTCGCGCTGTGCGTGGGTGCCTGCGGTCTGCCCTGTTCCCGGTTGCACTGGGAGCTGCCCCTGTTCCAGCAACTGCTGCTTGGCAGCTCCGCTCTGTGCATTCGGCTGTAGCAAGCTCAGGCCTGTTCTGGCCCCGGGGATGCTGAGCCTCCTGGTGGGAGCAGAGCCTGGAGGGGACATGCCTGCGCATGGGGAAGCGGGTGACCCTGCATCCCCACATCCCCAGGCTTGCTGTGCGAGTGGCCAGTCCTGCGTGGAGCAGCCATCGGATATCTGGAGGCACCAGCAAGTGGCCCAAGGGTGGCAGCTCTCTGCAGACTGGGATGCAACCCGAGGACCCCCTGAACACAGGGCGGTGGGACCCTGGCTCAGCCACCTTGGGCATGGTGATGGGGGCAGCGTGTGAGCCAGCGCGGTTGTGGCTCTGCCCCCCGCACATCCCCATGGTCTCCCTAAGCTGTAGGCTTGGAGCCTGTAGGATCTGGGGTCAAGCCATAACCCTGGCATCCTGCGCAGCCTCTCCTCTGCCCCTGCCGGCTCCTACCTGTTCCCACAGCCTGCCCTACCCAGTGCCAGCTGGCTGAGAGTGCGAACCCTGCTCACGCCCAGGTCACAGCAAACTTGTTGGAGGCCTGTGCCCCGGTGCCAACAGGGTCACCTCCTCCCAGCGTTGGCCCGGCATGAGCCAGCACATGGCCTGCAAAGCCTCCCTCCACTTGGTACCGAGCCAGCCCAGGTCGGTCACGGTGGAAAATTACTGCCGGCTGCTCTGCTTCCTGGGGACACCCACCGCGCTCCTGGCTGGCACGGAGCAAGGGCAGGCTGTGCAGAGGGGCCGAGGCTGAATGGGCCACAGAGGCTATGCTCCCTCCTTGGCCCCAAGCCGGGGGTTGCTGCTCCATGGGCCCTGGCAGCCGGGAAAGCAATGGGGGCAGAAAGAGATGGCAGCCTGGGAGGCTGGTTTGACACGTGTGTGTGTGTGTGCATGTGCATGTACATGTACATGTGTGTGTAAAAGGGGGCCAGGCTGGTGTGCTCCCTCCTTCCTGGACAGGGCTTTGAGTGTTGCTCATTAACACTGGGGGTCCTGCACCATTCAGGAGTAGCAGCAGCACCGCGTGTTGATGGTATTTGGGGGCTAGGGGGGAGTCCCCCCAGGTGCATCCCGCAGCTGCTGTCGGGTGCTGAGACCCTGTGGGAAGGGGTGGGGGGCACCATGGGGGCCTGGGGGGCCAGGGCAGGTGCTGGCTGGCAGCAGGGGGATGGGGCAGGCTGGAGCTCAAGGTTGCTCCTAGCCCCTCTGGCAGGTGGGACCCGGGCGCCCTGCACAGACCTGCCCCCAGCCCCGTGGGAACGGGCCCTGCAGGCTGGGCTGCTCTGTGCCCTGCCGCGGGGGCACCGCCTGCGCCGCGGGGACACGCTGACTCAGCTGTGGCGAGGTCAGGCCAGCGCGGCTGTTATCAAACCCTTGGAAGCCGGCCCATGTCCTGGAGCGCCCAGAGCCCCTCTCCTGCGTGGTGGTTGTGGTCCAGACACAGGGCAACGGGGGACAGCAGCAGGGGCTTGCACAGCAGCAGGGAGGCAAGTGCTGGATCCTGCACGGATCCCCCAGGAGAGGAAAGCTCCCAGCCTGGGGCACCCGCTGGAGCCGGTTAATGCCAGAGCTGGGCTGGAGGGTGTCTCAGTCGGGGTGGGGGCTCGCTGAAGTTAGGGGTGGCCACTTGCCTTCTGGCTGCGGCAGGACAGGCAGCCCTCTCCTAGCCCCAACCCTGGCCAGGTGCAGCAGCAGTGGGGTGTGGGGGGCTGCTCTCGGGACCCCAAAGGGCACGGCGGCTTGTGAGGTCAGTGGTAGCCAGGTCCTTACAAGGAGGGAGACAGGAGGGCTTTGTCGCTGCCAACCGCTGTGCACCTCCCAGGGACCCCCATGGTGCTGGCTCCTTCCTCTCCTGGCCTGCCCCAGTGTCACCGGTGCCTTGGCTCCTGGAGTCGGGGCACTCTGCCGGGGTCTCGGAGAGGGCTGGGGCAGACAGCTGGGCACCCAGCGGTGCCATGGCAGAGAGCAGCACCAGCCTGGTTACATGCCCTGGGGAGTGCCAGCTGGTCCGGATCCCCAGGGACTACAGCCATTCCCCCAGCCTGGCAGCCCTTCAGGGACGCCCGTGTGTCCTCCGCCGCGGAGTGGGCTCCCCTCGCCTGCCCCCCGGCCTCCCCCTCCCCCTCGGCCTCTCTGGCTCCTGGCTGGGAGCGGCGCTTGGCTGCGCGGCTGGGGTCTTGGCGGGGAAAGCGCTGAGCCGGGCCCCTCCACAAAGCCGCACTGTTCAGAGCGGAGCTGCCGGGACCGGCTGCATTTTTGTCAAGTGATTCATCAGCACGTGAATGGAAAAGGCTGGAACCCGCTGAACCAGCAGCCATCCCGCCACGGCTCCCCGGCCAGCACACCGGGCTCCTGCCCCCGGCGGAGAGGGGGGAGGGCTGAGAGGGGGCACCCTGGATGCCCCTGGCAATGCATGGAGCAGCTGGGGGGCCACACTCCCTGCCTGCCTGGGCCCTGCCCTGGCTGCCGGCCACGTGAGCTGGGCTGTGGGGCCAAGCAAGCTGCGCGTGGCCGCCCAGTGCTTCCTCACACGCCCGCAGGGGTCAACACGCCAGGGAGCCACCGTGCTGAGGGAGCCCTCGGTGCCACACATCCCCATGCACCATCTGGCAGCCACCAGCAAGCTGGGCTGGTGAGGCTGCCCTTGGCAAGGCCCGGCCGAGCTGGCACCGGCCGCCTGCCTTCCCCATGCCCTTCTGCCCTGTGTAGATGGGGCTGACCGTCCAGCCAGCGCTGCAAGGGCAGGGAGCTGCATGTTCCATGCCACAGGGGCAGCACTGGTGCTAGGGGCTGCCTGCCTTCCAGCACGCTCACAAGGACAGCAGCTGCACTCCCCGCCACCCAGCCGTCCTGCCCAGAGGGTCCTCTTCCCAGGCTTCCTGGGGAGGAAGTGCCTCTCACTCAACCCCACTGGCCAGGAGGGAGGATGCGGTGATGGACTTGGCATTGCGTGGAAGTCCCGTGCATCGCTGTGAGTGCAGACAAGTGCCGCGTGAGCCGTGGGCACGGCTGCGGTTCAGGCAGGGCGGCATGGCAGGCTCTTCCCAAGGGGTGCAAGCCAGGAGGAGCCGGGGGGGCTCTGCCTCCATGCCACAGCCTCAGCACCCACGTGCACAGCTTGCTAACCTGCTCCGTGCCTGTCTGTTGCAGTGATCCGGGCCAAGGCCGTCTCGGGGAAGGAGGTGGATTCGGGGAATGACATTTATGGGAATCCAATCAAACGGATCCAGTACGAGATCAAGCAGATCAAGGTAAAGATGAACCTGCCTGAGGCCTGCTGGGGCTCTGGGGTCTCAGGCAGGTCTGGCATGAGGAACTGGGCACGAGGTCCCTGGTGTGTGGGTGGCAAGTGCTGTGAGCTTCTCCCAGCAGTGTCCCCGGCATAGGCGCCTGGCCCAGCCTGGGATCTCCAGCCCAGCCCCGGAAGTCCTGCTGGTTCTCAGCTCCAGTCCCAGCAGTGCCGCCCGGCTCTCACACTCCTCTTCCTTGCCTCTGCAGATGTTTAAAGGCCCCGACCAGGACATCGAGTACATTTACACGGCCCCATCCTCTGCTGTGTGCGGCGTCTCGCTGGACACCAGCGGGAAGAAGGAGTATCTTATTGCAGGTGGGGTCCCCCGGGCTCGTGGCACATGACGGGTGCCAGCCAGGCCTGCTTCTCACCAGCACTGGGTGTGGTGCTGGCGAGCCCTTCCCATCTCCTGGATCACAGGGGACAGTGGCCTGGAAATGCAGGAGCCTTTCCTAGAAGTGGGGCAGGGGGTGCCTGAGCAATGCCTGGGGGGATTGGGGCTGTGTGGTGCAACTGCTGTGCTGCTCTAATTGCTTATGGGTCTCAGCCCCGGCACCCTGTGCTCACGGAGGGGCAGTGCCAGGCTCCTCCAGCTCGCCCTGCCAACTGCGGGCTCCTCTGCTCAGCCCAAAACGCAGGGTCCGGAGGCAAGCCCCAGGCCGGGGTAGGGCTGGGGGTACATGGCACCGGGCAGAGCTAACAGACAGCCTGGGAACCAGTCCTCCAGCAGCCCTGGCTCTGACTCAAGGGAGACCGCAGCAGGGCTGCCGGCTCTGGCTCCGCCGCGTGACTCACTCTCACATGCCGTGCACAGATGCTCAGCAGCGGTGACGCTGGGCTCTGGAGTGCTGGCATGGCCCCTGCCCCTTGCTCACCCTGTGCACACGTGCGCTGAGTGTTACGTCTGCCCTTCCCACAGGCAAGTCAGAGGGCAATGGCAAGATGCACATCACGCTGTGCGACTTCATCTTCCCTTGGGAGTCTCTGAGCGCCACCCAGAAGAAGAGCCTCAGCCAGAGGTACCAGATGGGCTGCGAGTGCAAGGTAAGCAGAGCCCGCGCCTGGGAAGACGTGGAGACTTAAGAGCAGAGGCTCTGGGGATCTTGGCTCCAGCGGTCGCTGGAAGCACTGGGGGAAAGCACGTGGCCAGCCAAGCCCCATCCTCTAGGGATCCCGGGGTCCACCAGGCAGGCAAGTGGGGATGCCATGGCTGAGCCCACTGGAGATGCCAGACCAGGGCACTTGGGGTGGTAGTGATGGAGCCGGGCACTCGGCACCGTTCCAGGGCCTGGAGCCGGTCTCCCTTGGTGTGCTGGCCCTGGCAGGGTGTAACGGGGTCCATTGTGCCACAGATCTCGCGCTGCCCCTCCATCCCCTGCTATGTGTCCTCCTCGGACGAGTGCCTCTGGACGGACTGGGTGACGGAGAAGAGCATCAACGGGCAGCAGGCCAAGCACTACGCCTGTGTCAAGCGCAGCGATGGCTCGTGCGCGTGGTACCGCGGCGTGGCCCCGCCCAAGCAGGAGTTTCTTGACATCGAGGACCCCTAGCCCCCGCCAGCAGCTGCATCCCCGCGTCCGGTAGCAAAACCTGCGAGACATTAGACTGGTCCACCCCTGACATCACCTCCAGGAAACAGCATGAAAACCCAGTGCCCTGCGCGGGCGACTGACCGCCACGGGGGGAGGGGCCCGTGCCGCGCCGTCCCGGGGAACCCGCCATGCCAGGCCCCAGAGCCGCGGTGGAGGGTGGGGGGTGATCCAGTAGCTGGCCTACCGCGCCCCCCACCCAGCGGAGCACCCTCCCCATGCTGCTCCGGCCCCACGCGCCTCTTGTTCTCATCTCCACCATTGAGCCAGCGTCCCCTACCGGTCCTGTCCCTACTCAACACGCACACCCCCTTGGGCGAGAAGGGAGCTTCCCCTGCTCAGGTCCTGGCCCCCAGAAATGCTTTCCCAGCAGCCAAGTCTGCAGCCTTCTGCCAAAGGGGATAAAGACCCTTGTGATGGATGGGATGTCCCAGGAGAGGTCCTGTAGCATCGGAGGGGGCAGGACTGTCCCCTGCCCGCTTGCTCCCAGGAGCTTTCGGGTCTTGGTTCTCCCAGTTAGTGGATGCTGCATCGGGACGAGGGGGGACAGGCAGGGCCGGGCCCTGCAGTCGCACCCCCAAGTGCTAAGAAAGAGCATGTAGCACATGGGACTGTGCGTGCCATCCCTCCCATGGGGGAGCTGGTAGACTCAATTCTGTGCCACTTTCATCATGCTAGTGCCAGAGCCCCTCCCTGCAGCCTGCTGGAAGGGTCTCGGTGCCACGCAGCATCTCTGGTGAGAGCTGTTGGGGTGGAGAGGAGGTAGGTTGGGAGAGGCTGAGCTCCCAGCCCCGGGGCAGCGGGATGCTGAGGGTGACCCTCCTGGCCTCTGGTGCCAGCCGCCGCGTGGGCACAGAAGTCCAGATGTTTCTGCAGCGTGGAGGGAGAACCGTGTGCGGGAACCCGGCGTCTGCACGGGCAGCGGCTTGTACCACGAAGCCAGGAAGCATGTGAGCGTGAGAAGGCAGGCAGGCAGGCAGGCCCCTCTCCCATGCTGAGGACACACGCGTGCACACGTCGCACACAGCGGGCATGTCACAGCTGCCCGCCCACCCTTGACCCGTTTCTGAGCCAGTTCCCCTGCTGCAGCGCTGGGCAGCCCTGTGGCCAGCCCGTCTGGGGCACCAGCAGCCCTGGCTGCACCTTCATCCCTTCAAGCGTCCCCAGGGCCTCCCTGCAGACCTGCTCCTGGGGCATTTTCATGCTGTGCATCCACGTAAGGTCATTAAGATGTCACATTGGACCAGTCTGGGTGATTTCCATAGAGATAGGAAAAAAAAAAAACAAAGAATAACCCACCCTCTAATCAATCCAATATAAGACTCCCGTTTGCTTCCTGTATGGTTATATCATGTGTGACATTTACTCCCGTCTCTGCTGACACTCTCTCTTTGATTTCCATGTTTTGGTTGGTTTGGCATCTGCTCATTCCTGTGCTGTAATGTTTTTATTTCCTTGTTAGGTGTTAGAATTGCACTTATTTTTGTAAAGGGTTTCTGCCTTGGAAGCGTTCAATGCTAAGTGGGAAGAACGGTGAGGAAATCTGCGGAGGGTTGAGTCCTCCGAGTCTTCCCGTTCCCTGGTGTTCGTGTTGCCCCCCGCCCTCTCGCCTGCCCTCCCCTCCCCTCCCCACTGAGCACGAGTCCTCAGCCGCTGGGACTCAGAGATGGGATACACCGGACGCTGGCTGGGCCCCACGGGCAGTCATCTGCACGCGCCTCACACACAGCACGGGCCCAGATCCGTGTGACGGGACCCGATGTCTCGATTCTGCCCGGGGGCCTCAGCACCGCTGCCGCCTCCTGCCCCGCGCCAT